AGGTAAGATAAAAACCTGTAATGAAATTTAGCCCATATGCGTATTTGCTATATAAATTTCCAATTTATAACCCTTTTTTACTAATTGAATTTTTTCCCCATACTATTCGAATTTACAAAAGCAATGCAAATCAAAGATAAAGTCGTAATTATAACAGGGGGAGCGAATGGTTTGGGTGCTGCTTTAGCTCGACGACTCGTTCATGAGGGGTTTGTTGAATAGATGAAATATTATGATCCATTTTTCGTTTTACTTGATTTAGTTTATTTTTAAAATAAGCATTAATAAATAATATAGTGCTCAAGTAGTTATTGGTGATATTGACGAAAAATTGGGCAAAGAGCTTGTAACTGAGTTGAACCAAAAGTATTTAGAAAAGTCGAAATCTTTTTTCAATACATCCAAATAATGCTCATTTTCATTTTATCAATCTAGCAATCAAAGTAATGCAATCTTTGTCCTTTGTGATGTATCAAATTTCGAATATCTACGTCAATTGTTTGATACAGCGCAGAATAAATTTGGCGGCGTTGATGTAAGTTCTTTGTTTATTAATTAGGTGCTTATTCAATGGCTAATTGATTAATAATTGTTTTTTTTTTTCTAAAAGATTGTATGCAATAATGCTGGAATTTGGCAAAAGGATGAATTTTATGATCAAACTGGTTAAGTAAATTGATCATCACCTATGATATAGTTTTTGCTTGAATGATTATTCGTCTTTAAATGTTGTCTCATGTAATGTAATACTGTAATAGACAGATGGATAAGGACTATTGATGTTAATTTAAATGCCGTAATTAAAGGTACACAATTGGGAATTCAATTTTTAAAAAAGCGTGGTGGTGGCGTTATCATAAATACAGGTTTGTAAATAATAATTTTAAACAACTTTATATGTAAAAAAAAAAAAAATAGAAAGTAATTGATTTTATTTGTAGCTTCACTTATTGGATTTTATGCGTGGGAGACAGCTCCAATATATACTACTACAAAATTTGGTGTATGTTTATAAGCTTTTAATCAATAAAATTATTTTGGTATTGATCAATACATTATTTAATGACATTTCTAGCTCGTTGGTTTTACCCAATCATTAAGAGGGCTGAATGACACAGACAAAATTCGCGTTAATGCTGTCGCTCCTGGATTTGTCGGTAAGTCAAAGGCAAATTTATTTCCCACTATTGTCACTATTATCGTTATCTGTATCTTATAATCATCGATCTCAAATATAATCTTATGACTAATTAGATACACGTATGGTGCAAGGACTAATCAAAGAAATTCCTACAGCTATGCAAACAATTGAGAAACTTGGATTTGTTCCTATTGATGAAGTAGTAAATGCTTTTGTGACAATCATTAAAGATGATAAACTTGTAGGTGATACTATCTTGATTCCGATGAAGAATAAATCACAAATCGTGTCAAAATCATTATTGTAGGCTTTAGGATGAGTAATTAGCTTGTATTAATTATGGTAGTTAAAGCTGAAAATTCAGCATATTTTATTATAAATTTTCTAAGAAAACCTTGTAGTTCGCAGAAGGCTGCTTTATTTATGAGTTATGGCAATTTTCTAGATCGTTATGTTACACCTGGTACTTAAAATTTATTAATAAATGAAGTAACTCTAGCACAGATCACTGATTTGGGGTCATGTACTACTTGTTAGAATTAATACAGCACAAAAAATATATACGTACGTATACGTACATGCATACGTACGTACGTACTTAATTACCAATGTTTGAATTTTAATGCCTTTCATTATCATTTAGTAATAAATATTAAAATATGACTCAAACCTCTAAAAATGATACTTTTTTAAAACAATATCAGATTGAATTTTTTCCTCATGATTCATTTGAAACATTTGAAATTTATAACTCAGAGTTTTCTAGTGATAGTCATAAAGCTTTCTCGACAAAGTATGATAAACCCATTTTTTTAAATAAAATTACTTTTTCTCAAAAATACTCAATAGAAAATTTTGCCAATGATGTAAGGTTTCATTATTTATATTAATTATATTACCGATATTAAATGTATATTGATACTTTAATTTTTTTTTTTAGCTCAAACAATACCAAAAAGTAGAACAACATGAAAACATTTTAAAATTCATAGCTGTTTTGAAGCAAAGTATAAGTGAAGTTATATTTGCTCATGAATTTGCATGTGATGGAACCCTTCGTCAATATTTAAAGCAAAACTTTAATAAAATTAATTGGATTGATAAGTTATGCCTTGCAAAACAGCTTGTTAGTGCTATAAATTATTGTCATGAAAACGACATAATTCATACGAACTTGGTATGTTTCACCTAAATTATTAATTTTTTGTAAATAATAAAATAATAAATGGTTAATTCTTATTTAGAATTCCGAAACAATATTTGTTCACAAAGGAGATATCAAAGTAGCTTTTCAATATCAGATAAAGATTTTGGATATATTTAATCATATTCAATACATAGACCC